ACCCATGGGGACCACAATTTAGGTCCCCACCGTGACACGAGTCCCGGTGTCAGGTCAGGTTTAAGTCCCCACCAGGATATATAAACCAGTACACACACACACACACTCTCACACACACACACACACACACTCTCTCACACACACACACACACTCTCTCTCTCTCACACACACTCTCTCACACACACACACACACTCTCTCTCTCTCACACACACTCTCTCACACACACACACACACTCTCTCTCTCTCACACACACTCTCTCACACACACACACACACTCTCTCTCTCTCACACACACTCTCTCACACACACACACACACTCTCTCTCTCTCACACACACTCTCTCACACACACACACACACTCTCTCTCTCTCACACACACTCTCTCACACACACACACACACTCTCTCTCTCTCACACACACTCTCTCACACACACACACACACTCTCTCTCTCTCACACACACTCTCTCACACACACACACACACTCTCTCTCTCTCACACACACTCTCTCACACACACACACACACTCTCTCTCTCTCACACACACTCTCTCACACACACACACACACTCTCTCTCTCTCACACACACTCTCTCACACACACACACACACTCTCTCTCTCTCACACACACTCTCTCACACACACACACACACTCTCTCTCTCTCACACACACACAGACACACACACACACTCTCTCTTTCACACACACACACACGCGCACGCACACACACACACACACACACTCACCACGGCCGGGATGTTCACCGTCGTCACCATATCCACTTTCAGGTCTCCAACTGATTTCTCAGGCAAAAAGACGAAACTCTTGACTGTATAAGCTGAGACCTTCTTCCCGTTGTCCACAAATGTCACGTTGCGTTTGGGCCTGTATTGTCTGGAACACAAGACAAGCAAAATATCATTGAGTTGAGCGCAAATAATACCATTACATCTTTAACTGGCATTGTGCAAGTTTGAGTACAGAGCCAATGAATGAAAATCAGCTTGAAACCAATACAACAGCATAAAACATCATTAAAGTGAAAAAGATGACAGTGCAAAGTGGAAAATGAGGCACAAATGACTGTGTAAAGCAAATGATGATTGTAGGACAGAAGAAATCTATAAGTGCATATTATATTATATTTTATGACACTATATTTAGTAAATATTTAAATATAATTAAAAGATACATAAATACATTTTATATCACAAATATAAATATTATATACAGAATATACATTTTATAAATATATATTTATAAATTATTTATATATATTAGAATTGTAATTTAAACCAACCAAACCGCAATTTAGCTTAGTGGAAATAATACAATTACATTGCATTAGAATGACTTTATTGGCATAGTGTGAGTTTGAGTACAGAGCAAATGAAACACAATGATAATTTCAATGAAAATGATGGTAGTGCAAAGTGAAAAGCGAGGCACAAATGGCTGTATAATGCAAATCATGATTGCAGGACATAAGAATGATCATATAAGAACAGGATGTGATTCATAATACTTGATATTTGCAGTTATCTACAGTTCAACATCAGATGTTTCCAGAGCGTATCGATTCCTGCCGGAGTGTTTTCTGTTTGCTCTGAATTACCCAAGTCCAGTGCAAACAAGCCATGCAGAGGAATACAGGTCAGGCCGCTGAACTGTCCTTGGATGAGCGGTGGAGAAAGTTAACGGCAGACTTTGATATTTGTTTAGGGTGTGAGAGCATGACTGCAAACATGCTGATCAAACATCAAGATCAAGATGTTCAGCGTCTGCAAATTAACAGAGCTAACTGAAGTTAACTTGGGTGTCAGTTACCAGCAAATGTTACATTTACAATTGGAATAGGAGTTGATTGTTTTATGTTTTGAGATAAATTATGAAAATTAAGATATATATATATATATATATACTACCAGTCAAATGCTTTTGAACAGTAAGATTTTTTATGTTTTTTAAAGAATTCTATATATATATATTCAATAATTAAATTAATATATAAATAATATTTTTTTATAATTCAAATATTAATTCAATCATAATATAGTAAATTAAAATATAATTGCAATTTTTTTGTATAATTTATACATTTGATAATTTATCACTTTTATGGATAAACACATTAAAAACAAACATGTGTCTAAACATGATTTGTTATGTATGTTCTGTTTTGTTTAGTTTTATGTTACATTTGTTACAGTTTGGCACATTTTGCTAAGTAATGCCACTGTTTGTTTCGTTTTGTTACATTATTTTTATATAACAAGACATAACATAGCAAACCGTAACATGTTGCTTTGTTATGTTATTAGGTTTTTTGTTATATTATGTTTTGTGTTGTTTTATAAGAAAAAAAACAACAACGTTTCTGTAACGGGGCTGACGAGACGTGAGACGTGTGGATCCATCTGCAAGCTTTATTTAAAGAGACGTGGTATAACAGGCAGGGTCGAACAATGGCAAACAGGTATATGGCGGGCAAAAACACAAGAATAGTCCAAGGGCTAGCGTAGGTCACCGATCGGCAGACAGAATCACAGGGGCGAGATGAGAGGGAAAAATCCAGGAAAACAGGCAAAGATCAGAAACCGCAAAAACAGGCAAGGCAAAACAAGGAAAACACGGAAACTCAGCAGAGAAATGTGGTTAGAGTGGGTGTTATATAGTGAGTGAGGTGATTGGAAACAGCTGTGTGCAATGAGTGCAATCAGTGCAGTGTCCAAATCATGCAAAGAATGATGGGATATGTAGTCCGGGGTGCTATGCAACAGTTTGTGTTGTGCGAGAGTCAATGTAATGGAAAGGGTGACCTCTGGTGGTGAATAAACGGAAGTCCATGGACCGAATTCGTGACAGTTGTTTTATGTGATGCTGTTTTGTTATGATTTATAACAGTCACAACAGTATGTTATTTTATCTAATGTTTTGTTTCATTATTTATATTTTATAAGAGGAAAACAACAAAACAAAAGATAAAAACAAAACAAGTTATGTTTTATGTGATGTTTTGTCATATTACGTTTTTATGTTGTTTTGCTAAGTTATGCTATGTTATATTTGACAAATAAAAATAAGTTTCTGGGTTCAGATATTCTTAACAGATCTATGTTCAGATGCATGATGGGACTGATTAAAGAGTTACATAATGCAGACAGAGTCATTTCCGGAGATTAGGCATGTGCTGTGATATTACTTTAGATAGCAGCTATTTTACAACATAACTACTGGTAGCATGATGAGCTTTTTCAGTTTTACTGTCTTTCTTAAATTACAGCCCAATTAAATGCTGGAATATGAGTCAGGTTTGCTCCGGCCGCAGCGTGACGGATTTGTGCAGAGATTCGCACTGGACTCAAATCTCTGAGCATCAGCACTGTTTGGCTTCGTCTGCAGCAGAAGCCAAACAGTCTGGTGCCTCTGAACTGATTCTGCTGCCGTCACATGGAGGAGTTGAACGCTTATGCACCCTAATTTATAATGTAATGCAACTGTGCATTACTTTCTTCTGAGTTCTACTGATGGCTTTTTCTTACTTGACAAAAAACATTACAAAACATAAAATAAAACACATAAAAACGTGACATAGCATAACATAACATTAACAGCAAAACCTACACTGTAAAAAATTGTTCTGTAAAAAACGGTAATGTGCTGGCACCAGAGTCGCCAGCAATCTACTGTAATTCTACAGTATTCATACTGTGAAATGATTTTACAGTTTATTACCGTATGCATTGCAAACAGTAAAAAACCGTATTACTTAAATACAGTAGAGTACTGTTAAAAATTGGCTGTAAATTAACAAAATATTGCCCAGAATGCATTGTTTTCTACAGTACATTACTGTTTTAATGGAAAACAGTATGTTACTGTCAGATTTTGGCCGTTTTTTTACAGCAATTTTTTACAGTGTACCATTGTTTTGTTATATTGTTTAATAGCAAAACATAACATGTTATGTGTTATGCTGTTCTGACGTTGTTTTGTTATTTTTTATAGTATGTTTTATGTTGTTTCATACAAAAAAAACATAACATAGAATAGCAATGTTATGTTTGTGATCGTTCGTTATGTTGTTTTATAACATAAAAACATAGTATATGTAGTATACAAGTAATACAAGTAATGTTTTGATGTTATGTTGTTTTGTTATTTTTGTTGTTTTATAACAAAATATACCACTGCAAAACATAATGTTAAGTTAAATGTTTTATGTTTTGATGTTACATTGCTTTATTTTTTTGTTATGTAATGTTTTATAACAAAAATAACAACACATAACACTGCAAAACATAAGTTATGTTTTATGTGATACAGATTTGTTTATTATGTTTAGTTTAGTTTTAAAACTGATATGTTTTGTTATGGTATATTATGTTTTTTTGTTATGTTTTATGTTGTTTAATAATATAAAACAAAGAATAACAACCTAACCAAGCGTAACATAACGCAACGCAACATAACATAACTAAATGTAACATAAAAACATAACGCAACGTAACGTAACTTAAAAACATAACACAACGTAATGTAACTTAGCATAACCTAACGTAATATAATGTAACATAAAAACATAATGCAACGTAACGTAACTAAACGTAACATAAAAACATAAGACAATGTAATGTAACATAACGTAAAATAAAAACATAACGCAACGTAATGTAACTTAACGTAACATAACATAAAAACATAACACACCGTAACGTAACTTAGCATAACATTAAAACATAACGCAACGTAACATAACTAAACGTAACTAAACGTAACATAAAAACATAAGGCAACATAATGTAACTTACTGTAAAATAACGCAACTTACGTAACATAACCTAACATAAAAACATAACGCAATGTAACGTAACGAAACGTAACATAAAAAATAAGGCAACGTAACGTAACTTACCGTAACATAACCTAACATAAAAACATAATGCCATGTAACGTAACTAAACGTAACATAAAAACATAACGCAATGTAACGTAACTAAACGTAACATAAGGCAACGTAACGTAACTTACCATAACATAACGCAACTTACCGTAACATAAAAACATAACGCAACTTAACTAAACGTAACTAAACGTAACATAAAAACATAAGGCAACGTAACTTAACTTACCGTAACATAACGCAACTTACCGTAACATAAAAACATAACGCAATGTAACGTAACTTAAAATAACGTAACATAAAAACAACGCAACATAATGTAACGTAACGTAACAACACACATTCTGCAGTTGTGTGGAGTGGGATTTTGGACCACTGAGGTTTCACAGTGGGGGGAGCTACTCTATGTCCTGTCACTCAGTCTGATTTTACTATTTCATGAAAACCGTGCTGTCTGATCCCAGCAGTCTGCATGTGCATGTGCATGTGATGTACCTGAAGGTGTACGGACCCATTTCAGTAAGACGAGGTTTGGCTTCTCCTTTCAGGAACTCTTCAGGGTTGGTGAGGTTGAAGAAGAAGAACTGAATATAGACCGGAGGCGGTGGATTTTTCCACGAGGCGAAAATTTTACTGCCCTCCGTCAGTGTGATCTCCTGAACACACAAAACACACAACACAACAGGGATAGTTTATATCACAGCACAAACATCTGTTCAGTTTGAGACCACAATCAAACATTTTTGGTTTCAGGTCAAGTCTGTCAGCTTTGAGCTCATTTGATGTAAAACTGATTTTTTAAAAGCTGCAAATAAAACAAAGATTATTAGAGTATGTTTTAGAATTAAAACACTATTTCAGGTTTTCTACTTTCAAATTTTCTTTTTAAGTCAATGTGTTACTTGTTATTTACAAGCAATTTCTGAATGAAAATCTCAGTGTAGTCAAATTTCAGTGTATATGAGAGTTAACAAAATAAAATGTTATATTGATGACTCCTGCTTCATTCATCACACTGGAAATGGAGACGGTCAGTATTTAGGTCATTCCGGTTCACCTGAGGTCACGACCTCTGACCTCCAGCACTACATTATTGCCGGCACAAATGTAACATTTCAAATTCCTCAGATGCTGATAAACTTCATTTGTTCTGGATTAATATTTTATGTTGTTTTGATATGTCATTTCATTATGTTATTATTTACATTAAATTGTTTTACATTGTTTTGTAACAAAAAATAACATAAAACATATCAGCAAAACATAATGTTATGTTTTATGTGATGCTGTTATGTTTTATTGTTATATGTGTATGTTTAGTATATATGTTTATGTTGTAAAAGATAAAAGGAAGCATGTTAAGTTTTAAGTTGTTTTGTTATATTATGTTTTTATGTTATGTTTTACTAAGTTATGCTGTTATATTTTATAACAAAAACATATGACGTTATGATGTACGTCATGTTTTATGTTTTGATATGTTGTTTTGTTATGTTATATCATTTACACATTTAATCCAATGTGTTACTTGCCAATTCTTTGTAAATATTTGTGAAATTTACTATCAATTTCTGAGTGAAAATTGCTTCTACACCCATTTTTTTCAACGTATATGATAGTGTTCTGAGAGTTGGCAAAAAAAACTTTAATATGCCATCATGCTCAGAATCACAGCTGACATGACTTCTACTTCATTCATCACTAAAAATGGAAGTTCAGTATTTAGGTCATTCCGTGTCACCTAAGGTCACGACCTCCTGACCTCCAGCGCTACATTATTGCCGGCTCAAATGTAACATTTCTAAATTCCTCAGATGCTGATAAAGTTCACTTGTTCTGGCTCAATCGTATCATAATAAGTTCAGCCAGCAGCAGAAACACGCAGGAGTATTATGAGAAATATGAAAGACAGTAACTATTAGATACTCTGAATCCACCCTGGGTCAAACACAGATAACCTCTCACCGGCCGAGCGCTGGCGCCACGTTTGGGGTGACTGGACCCTTGAGGTGTGTTTGAAACATCGATCATGGAGCAGGACAGAGATCACAAACAGCACAGCTTTAACTAGTGACTCAGCACTATCATCAGTCTGACCGCCAGCATCATTCTGGTTCACTTTGCAACTCATTCTGACCAACGATTATCCATTCAGATAGAAAGAGACTTGATGAAGACTAGCTCTTCCTCAGAAGAGTCAGTGTAGCAGTCTTGAGGATGGAGGAGGATCGCATCATGTGATCGCTCTTCTGAGGAGGAACCAGTTAAAGACGCTTTTCTCCTCACTTGAGCAGAAACTGTAAATAAAGACATTAACTACTGACAGTTTTCCATACTAATGCTGCTAGCAGCCGTTATTCACTTGTAGAAATAGAGACATTTCTTGGAAAACAGAACTGAAGACAGCTTTAATAACTGTGACAAACTCTCTTGAACACTTTTGAACCACTGAACACTTCATAACAACTATAATAACTACTCATTATATATATATATATATATGCATTTATATTCATATTTGGTATTTCATTTATTATTATTATTGTTGTTGTTGTTGTTGTTTCACTCAAGAATTCCAGATACGTAGATGTACAGTATATTTTATGTATTAATAATAATAATAATAATAATAATTTTATACAAACATATTTACATAAATAATTTCATTTACATAAATAATTAATTTTTAATAAAATTTCTTTCATATTATTATTGTTTTAATTAAATATTTCAGATGTTATAAAATATTTATATATAATTTTACTGCATTTACATTTAGATTGATTGTACACCATTTATTATTATTATTATTATTATTACTACTACTACTACTATTTCCCTTAAGCATTCCAGATATGTAGATATATATTTAATATATTATTATTAATAATAATAAGGATTTTATATTACATATAAAAATATTATATATATTTAATGATATAT